ACCCACACCCACACCCACACCCACACCCACACCCACACCCACACCCACACCCACCTACTTCCATTTTCACCAGACCGCTGGTGCCAACTTGAAGGGTAGCAAGCACATCGTCGAACCGCTGGTCAAGTGTACTTTCTTGTGCGAGCCAGAACCGAAGGTCAGCGCGCGTAGCCTGTTTGCGCATAAAATGCGTATACAATGGATGTGAGGCAGCCGGATGGCTTTGTATTATTTTCAATAATCAGCGAATAAACGCTTTACTTGACTCAACAGGTATTTGAGAACCCAACGTAGTAAGGTGCGGTTGAATAAGTCGACCCACATCGGCCAACAGGCGTTCCTCGAGTATAAAGCTCAGATCATTTAATAAAAAGAACCCACCACGCCCTCTCCCCGTTTGGTTAAAGTGACCATTGTAGATTTCAGCGAGAGCATTATGTTGCGCTTGATTGCCATCATTCTCCATCTGATATTTAGCATGTTGAAATATACGCATGCGACGAGCTCCGTCGTATAGGAGTCGATGGGCATCACTAGCAGACATCGTTTGAAGCGTTGTAACGAGTTGAGTAAGGTTTAATTGAGTGAGATGGTTTTCATCATACATTTCACTTTTTATTAGTGAACCAGAGAAGTGGCGTGTAAAAAGTGGTCGTAAGCGGCCAACTTGCTTGCAAGGCAATAATGTCATATTTATCCGAAAATTCCCCAAAACCTGGTTCAAATACTACTGTTAACTGTCAGACTGAAAAAGAAAGGAACTATAAATTTCAATATACATTCAATCACAATCGATTCTTTCGCATCCTTTTTATGGGATAACATATACGCTCTTTTTCACTTCCTTCTTCCTCTTCACTAGTATTACTCAATCAAAATGACTCAGGCTTCTTATAGCCATCATGTAAACAGAAGTGAGTCAAACATCATATGATTCATAAAATTAACAAAGTACTAGATATTATTCATCATAGTGCAGGAGACATAATATGGATGCAACTGGCGAGATTTGTACTTAGTGTTAGTGATGCTGTTTATGACTAAAGGTGGGTGTGGATTAGACCCCGTCGGGTCCAAGATTTTTGGACCCGAACCCGGACCCGAACCCGGACCCGTTTACAATTTGCCACATTCGTACCCGGAACCGGACCCGTTTGTTTAAAAAAGGTTGGACTCGAACCCGACCTGGACCTGCTTTTTTAAAAAATGTTGGACCCGGACCCGGTCGCTTAAATTTTTTGGATCCACGCACGATGATAAATTAGTTTCGATAATATATTCAAAAAGTCTTTTGTTGCTTTTTATGTATATTTTCTAAATACATTTAATTTCTTTTCTTCATGAAACGAACAAAATTTTGAAAAAATTCACAATACATTGTATGCATCAAAGTTTTCTTCAGATCTGGACTCGACCCGAACCCGGTCACAAAAAAGTTTCAGACCCGGAACCCGACCAAAACGAAATTTTTAGATCCGAACTCGGATCCGTACCCGAGTGGGTCCGGGTCCTACCCGACGGGCTCTAGTGTGGGTGGGGTGTGTGTGGGTGCGGATATGAACGTGAGAGAAGACACCCACACCCTAATTGAAATATTAACTACCAAAAAGCCTTCTTCTTTATTCAATTGATGAATTTAATCATTAGTTTATCAATTATTCTAAAATAAAAAAATCCTTTTATTAAATAAATAATAATTAAAATATTTACTAATAAAAAACTTTTTCTTTATTTAACTGATGAACTTAATCAGCAGATGATTGTTTATTCTAAAACAAAAAAAATTCTATTGTTAAATAAATAATAATTCAAATATTTACCACTAGAAAAACTTCTTCTTTATTTAATTGATGAATCAAATGAGCAAATGATTCTTTATTCTAAAACAAAAAAAATCTTTTATTTAATAAATACTGACTAAAATATGTACTACTGGAAAACCTTGTGTTAATAAAAATTATACACAGATTATTGATGAATCAAATGAAGAGATGATCGTTTATTCTATAACAAAAAAAAATTCTTATGTTAAATAAAAGAAAAACGAGCTATTTAGAAATAAAAACATCTCTGTTTAGAAAATTAATAAACAGATAATCAATGAAATTATTGAGGAAGTGATCGATTAATCTAAAAAGAAAAAAAATTGGAATATTTACTAATAGAAAATGCTTATGTTTATAAAAACTATAAACAGATCATTGATGAATCTAAAAGAAAAGATAAAATTTGTTTAGTAAACAGTTGACATATGTCGATAGAAAAACAAGCTATTAGAAGAGTTGGTTGAAAAATCTCTCTCTATGGTTTAACACTTCTTTTAGTTCATATTTCATTAAATAAAGGTAATATTTACAATACAAAATTGGTGAGAATAAGTAATGTTTGATCAATTAAATTGTATGCATTATTTTCGCTAAAAAGTACACATGATGTCTTCATTTGATAAATAATTTTTTTTGTTTGTGCTCACTTTATTCCACATTTTATTTAAAACGTTTAACGAACAGTGAACAATGGAAAATAAACGTAGTGAAAATGTGGATTTCAATGGAAAAGAAAGAAAAAGATAAAGCGTAAATGAATAATGTATGATTCCTCGATATTTTACATTTCGTTTTCAACAAAGTAACGGGTGTCCCAGATTAAATGAACCTCTCAGTATTTTCTATTTTTTGTATCTAGAATTCTGCATAGAGAAAAGAATTTTTTTATAGAAAGATTCC